ATGAAAAGATGCCTTACACCCTAGCCACTTTGATGAGGAGACACAGCACATAATCATCAAACATCAAAGGTAATGACCCAGCTCATACAAGACTGCCATACTAAAGACACATTCTCATGCACAGGCTGCCATGCTCAAGTAAAGCCTGCCATGCTCAAGTAGAGTTTGCCATGCTCAAGTAAAGTGTGCCACGCTCAAGTAAAGTCTGCCAATCTCAAGTGAAGTTGGTCATGCTCAAGTAAAGTCTGTCATGCTCAAGTAAAGTGTGCCATGCTCAAGTAAAGTGTGACATGCTCAAGTAAAGTCTGCCACGCAAAGTCTGCCATACTCAAGCCTCAAGTTATCATGGTCAAGCAAAGTCTGCTATGCTGCCAAAAAACTCTAACAAAAACAAGAGCAACTGTTTCTTTTCTCCACCATCTAAGGTGTCTAGCTAGACATCCCCAGGCTTTGCCATGCAAAGCTACCAAAGCTACAGCTACTAAAGGTCAAGAGCAAAAGCGGCTCACTCTACACTGGAGGCTTCGATCATGGCAGGGAAGGGGTTCTCCTCACAGTCCTTGGGAACAAACCTCCTCCTCTTCAGCTCAGGCAAAGGCATTTGTGCCAGAAGCTGGGCCCTCTTGGTCGAAGTCATCCATGCCTTGGAGGCATCAGATCGAGTCACCTTTTTGCCCAAATTGGATATGCTCTCCATGTACTGCTTGATGAAAAAGGAGCGGATCTCTGCCATTTTGCCTGCCTCATATTGGCTTTCCTGCTGGATGTGGGTGCCCTTCTTCTCCTTTGGCTTTTGTGATGGCTTAATGCTTTTGGGCTCAGCATCACTCTGTCTTTTCTGGCCACTGTTCTTCACTGACTTCTTCTCATTTGCCTTCTTCTTTTCTTTCACCACCATGGTGGGCTGATACGACATGGCCTTGGACAGGAGGGAAGATTCAACCGGTTTGCTCTTGGATCCCTGACTTTTGGGCTTCTGGTGTGCTGGTGCCATTGGTGCACTGGTGCCCTGACTTTTGGGCTTTTGGTGTGCTGGTGCCATTGGTGCACTGGTGCCACTGGAAGCTGGTGCTTCTGGCTTTGGCTTCTGCCCCAGAATCCTCTGGAAGATTGCAGGGAAAGGGCTCAAGTAATACGGCTGGGACTTCTTCTCTGTTTTGGGCTTGGGTGGTTGGTAGGGCACAATGGCCAAAGACTCAGGAGAAGGAGCAGGGCTGCTCTCCATGGAAACGATGGCTGCTGATGATTTCTCATCATCATCCACATACTCCATGCCCATCATCTCTGCTGGCAAGACAACCCTCTCCAGCACCAAGTCGATCTTCACCTGATCCTGCTTGGACAGCATCCTGAACACTTTAGTTCTCAAGCCAGGGCTGAGCTTGAGGTTTCGCAGCATGGACAACAAAATCCTCAAGGTAAGGCCGCACTTGTCAATCATATCCTCAGTGGTATGGCCTTTGGGCGTTGAAGAAAACTCTAAGTCCCTGTTTGTATTCATTGCCCTGGGGGTCGCACTCAACTTGGTAGGAGTGAGCTTTGTGTTTGGACACACTTTCACCAAGTCAAAAAGCAAACCGGCAACTTTGGACAACCACTCTCCATGAGGAGCTGTGTGCCATCCATAGGACATGGGGCCAGTGGGGGGTGGGCAGATCAAACTCCATAGATCCTTCTTCTGCTTGAACTGCAAGAACCCTGTGAGGGCACCTTGGATTGCAGTCACTGGGATGCTGGGGTCAGCCACCAATCGAAACCTCCCACTTTGCTTCAATGACCTCTCCTCTACAGCAGCTTGCATCTTTACCTGTGCAGCTGCTTCCAAAGCAGCCATGGTCACAAACCAAATAGAGCTAACAGCAACTCACAGAGCCAAGAGATCTCTCACATAAAACATGCACCCTCACACTGGCAAAAACCATCAGAGAATCATATCCTCAAGTAAATTTACTCCCTCAAGTAGACACCCTCAAGTAAAAATGGTTTGTTCAAGTCAAGAAGGGTGCACATGCTCAAGTAAATGCAATCCCTTCAAGTAAAGGCAAAGTCCACACCTCCTGGCATGCTCAGTCAACAAAAACAAAAATCCATAGCGCAAATATCCTCAAGTACATGTTGTCCTGTAGAAAACCTGCCTCTTTGGAGAAAGCCAACTCACATAAATTGAGACATTTTCTGCTTCAAAATCATGCTCACAAAAATTTACTCATAACCTAAAAAAAATTACTAATACCCTAAATTGGATTTACTAATAACCTAAATTGGATTTACTCATGACCTAAATTGGATTTACTTTTCAATTTACGTAAATTTTTACGTAAATTTTCCTTAGTAAAACCAAAAATTTACGTAAATTTTATGGTTAGTAAAATTACTAATTTGGGTGACTTAGGGTTGCGTCTAGCACCTTCAAGTCTCTCTTGCCGTTCCGCAGATTGGCTTCGATCATCCCGGGCAAATGGGGCGTGAGAATGGCCGACAGATGCAGGATGTAAAAGTTGGCATTAAAACAGCTGAGCACCCGTGATTGGTTTTTATCACAAAACGTCATGTGATATTGATCCTTCAACTCCATCTGCCACAAAAGCGGGTCCAGGTCGACGACCACGACGTCCGGCTCTGCGAAGGTCTCTTTGAACCAGAGCTTGATGTCCTTGCCGAAGTGCGTGTAAATGAAATGCAACTCATAGATGCTTGCATTTGGGATGCACGACAAGGCTAGGACATTGCATCCAGCTTTTCGACCCTGCTCGACGTACCAGGTCAAATGCCTTTTGGTGTCGGCAGCGATCTTGAGAGGGTCGCCCTTTGCCTCGGCATATGGGTATCTGTTGGTGGACACGATGCCATTCTCGCCCACAAGCTCATTGCCGGCCCACACCACGTTCACATAGATCCGTGCGTCGGGCGCATCCTTGCGGATGGCTCTTGCGCAAATGATTGCGCGTTTGATGAGCGTCCGCAATTCGGCACCCCAGTGCATCTCGTGGTGAAACTGTAGTACATGCCGGCATCGATTGTCGTGAAATGCTCGCTCCAAATCATGACACACACGGGTTTTCTTTCCGCCTGACACCATTGCCAGTGTACTGTCGCTTATCAGCACTTGGTACACTGGGCTCGTCACTGCGGACGGCGGGCGATGATAAGCTAGGTTGCTTCGCTTCGCCTCGATGAATGGGTTCAAAATGTGTTGAACACTCTCGTAGCTTTCACGCCACGTATCGACAACGGATTGCGCCGTGTGGTCATGAGCCAGACCTAGGGCCATTTCCTGGGCTCCTTGATCCTGACCGACGTCAGCGAAAATGGAGCTCGTCAGCAGCCGCTGGAATAGAGTATCCCACCCACGTAGGATGTCCAGCTGGTGGTCAGAGAAATGCCGCTCCGGCTGAGCCATGATGGATGCAGGATAGCAGGCAAGTGCACAACACGACTTGGGCCTTGTGAGCTCTGCGGCACGCGAACGAAATGCATCATGCAACATGTCAGTCAGCTCATACGTATAGCCTTCGGCAAGTTTTAAAGATTTGCCTCTTGACTGTTCGTGTGCATGGCTTCCGTTACATATGAAGTTATCAAGTGTTTCAAGCTGTAGTACATCAGTAGCTATCTTCCAACCCTTCTTTAGAGGCTTACCGCTCAATCCTTTGAGACCGAACTGGCATCCGTGGAAGGCATGCTGTCGCAGCTTGTGGTCGTTGATAAACTTCTGCGCGCTGGGCCAAGACCAGTACTTACAATTCTTTGAAAGTTCGAAGGTTACGCTTGGGTTGTGCGGGCTGGCATTCGCAACGCAGCGCTTGAAGCTTTTGAATAGCTTACTGAAAAGTTGCTGCTGTTCTGCAATTCGTTCGCTACCGTTTAGCAGGTCTTTGTTCACGTTTGTCCAGGGACTGCCTCCCGTGCATGGGAGTGACGCGTAGAAGAATACGGCTCCGTTTGGGTGGACCTTCTTGAACGCTTCAATCTCCTGGGCTAGCCATTGTCGGCAGCTTTCTGATGTTCCGTCCTCATTCTCAGTGACGCGGATTACCTTGCAGTTCTTTGCTGGTTTGCGTTGTTCACCTAGCTTGGACGTTGACGAACAGCAGAACTCCACCAACAGGCGATGAGGATATTTCGAGCTATCGCCCCCCTGATCAACGCTTTCACTTGTCACGTTTGCTGGGGCGGAGGCTCGCGCCTCGCTTCGGTCCGTAGATTGCACCAATGACGGTCCAATGCCGATAAGCCTCAGCGCGTGCTCCCACTTTGCGGGACTCGTGAAGGGTTTTGTCAGGATGTCAGCGACTTGAAAATCGGTCTTTATATTCACTAATTCAAACTGACCACACTCAAACTGTTGCTTTAGCCATCTGAACGAAACGCATTGGGTTCGGTTGGCATGACGCATAGACTGTGAATGGCCAGTGGACAAAATCGTAATGGTAGCTTGGTTGTCTTCCATGAACTTGACTCTGCAGAATTCAGGAAAGTATGCAACCATACCATTGATGTGACTTGCCTTTAGCCCTGAGTCCACGTTTCCGTTTCGCATAGCGTCGATCTCGGGGTCGATAATGGTGAAGATGCCTTCTCGCTTGGGCCGCGAGGCGAGCTGCTGCATCGGGTGCCTGCTTGAACAGCATAAGTTGCTCGAACAAAGCTAGGGTTGGAATGCCCTCGGCACGAACTCCGTGATTGGCAGCTACCACTTCGGCCTCGGTGGAACTCATCGATGTCACAGTTTTTTTCTTGCTGTATGCATTGAGTGGGTAGTACGTACTGGGGCCCACAAGGATCATGGTAACTCCTGATGTTGATTTGGAGTCATGTTCCCCTGCGAAGTCGGCGTCTGCGAATAGCCAAAGCTGGCATTCTTCGAATGGATCGCCTACAAAGCCCTCTAGGTACTGATTCTTGGTGTGATGGATGTAGGATACCAAACGGTGTAGTCCTACATCACACTCGATCGACCATTTCGTTACTCTTGACGCGAGTGATTGCGTGGCACGGAGTAAATCGAATCTGGCCATACGGGCCGCAAAGAGAATTTTCATAAGAACCTTACTGGCAATGGGTTGCAGTCTTCCGAGCTCCTCTTTCTCAGAGAGCGTGGGCTTCGGAATGCCGAGCTCCGTGAACGGTGTATAGCTTTTCTTGAGTGTCTCTGGTTTGACTTGAGCTAGCTTGCAATAAGCTTCAACACATGATTCGAGGAAGGATGACATGTCATACCTCACGAGGTTCACGGGCTTGGTCATGCAACCAGCAGGCTTCGGCACCACGCTTTCGATCGGCTTGAAGCGCTGCTCCTTTACCTCCTTCTTTGCCTCCCGCTTTGATCGATGTGGACCTGGCCGGTTCTTCGATGGCACGGCGACACTGGGCTTGTCGTCACCGTAACGAAAGATGGTCTTTCCGGTCCAAAAGATGTCTGTTTTCACGTTTGGGTTCTTAAGAGTCCAGTCATCTTCATAGGTATCGATTCGTTCTTTGGGTGAACGAGTGTTCGTTGCATTTGGTGATCCGTCATTAATGATCACTGCTGCATTGAACATTGTCGTCCTTTGAGACTTGATGGAACCGTTGAACTGGCCCCCTTTGTTTCCCGAGAAGAAGAGCTTCTTCCTTGGCTGTAGGTGATGGCGTGTCCAGGTTTGATGGCTTGGATCATGCTCCCAGTAATCATTCTTTCGGTGGATCTGTGCAGAGCATGCGCTTGCGCGCTGCGGGTCAAACACGTGTGCAAATGGATGTGCGCTGACTGGTAGTTTGACACCGTTCTTCTCAACGTGCATGCACCCGAAGTACCTGTCATAGGGCTCTGGTTCGCCCAGATCAACGACCGAGCGAATCCCAGCCCAACCCTTGGCCAAGTTCTTCTTGGGTCCTGCCATCTTGAAATCATCGACATAGACCACCAGGATGAGGTCCAACTCGTCGTGCCTGAAAATCGATTGCCACATCTCGGGCAAAATCTGACGCCATCCCTTCTTAGCTAGATTGGCATTTAGATGCTGTTCCCAAATACCCCCACTATCGGGGTGTCCGTACAATGCTAAAACCATTGGGACCATGGGTTTCCA